ATTGTGATTACAGTATGTTTTTACCTAACGCATCAGTTAAGGAAAAAAAGACACATTTGTGAACTTTGCCTTCCGGTGAAAAATATTCTAATTTTCTTATTATTCACTTACAGAAGAGTGCTGAAACTACTTCTTTTAAAGCCTTGGGATCATACTGGTTGTCACAATAAAAAAATAAAAAAAAATCATAGAATAACAAAGCTTTTACCCTAAAATGATTTCCACATGGCAGACTTCCACTGCATGTTAAGTATGTTTTGACAAGCAAAACAAGAATGCAACTAGTAGTGACCTTAGATTTGAAATTACAGAAATAAATACAAGCGTCAATCGCTACTTAACGAGTGAGCAAAAATACAACTAAGATGTAAGGGATGTACTACAAGTGACAGGAAACAAAGGTTCTGCTAAATTTGCTTATTTTAAAGTCCAACGCTATAAATGTAAATGGAGATTTTTTTTAACCTGACTTTCTTTTACCTTGGTGCTTAAATGACCTTAAACACAGCTCCATCACGGAGCTTACGATCCGTGAGAAATGGTGTAGGGGTGGTGAGGGAGGTGCCGGGCGGATGATGTTTCCAATAGCTCGTTCATCATGTTAGATTAAATACTCCACTTCACTGATCTCGAACGGGGCACAGTATTCCTTTCTTTGTGAGCTCTTGCTCTCTATCCCCCTCTCCTTCTCTTACAAACCACCAACGTTCGATTCTCACTCATGCAAGCCTTTGCACTGAAGTGGTCTCTCCATCCCCTTCACTTCATTTTATTATTTTTTTCCCCCTCTTCTGATACAGTCTCCTTGCTATCTTGTCTTCATTTTTTACTGTCTGCTTTTCTCTCTGCAAAAAAAATAAAAAAATGCAGTGGCTGGGGCTGCATTTATGTGGCGGATTGAGCTTGTAAGCTGAAATAATACAATTAATTTGTTCTCTCCCCGAACCTCTCTTTTCCCGTTCTTCTCCCGTCGTCTCAGATCAAGGAAGTGGAAATGTGCTGACATGGAGGGATACCCCAAAGAGAATTCTAACAAAGATGTTTGTTCGCGCTAATGAAGAAAATAATGAAAGGCAAACAACAAAACTGCAAGAGCGAGCAAAACGAATTGAGCACCGAGGAGGGATGGAAATGAGCTGAGCGTAAGTGGCATTATCAAATATGCACACAAATATGAGTAAGGCAACAGTATCACTGCAGTGAGGTATCTTTCAATCTCATCTTGCTCCTGGGATGGTAGTGAGCAGAGATGATGTACATAAGCAGGGGACTATCAGGCCTAATTGGACTAACATCAAATAAGACTGCCACAAGAGAACCAGCAGGTAAGGAAATCATACCTATTTTTGGGATCTACAACTAATCAGGAGATTAGACTAATTTAAGTAATATGGGTGAATTACTGTAATTTAAATTCAATATCAACACAAAAAGAAAACCATTACTGGAAAAAATTTAACTAATGTTTTGCCGAACAGTAAAGTCCAAATTTGAAAGATGGCACTAACTTACTGTTTCTAAAAGAAACTTCAGAAGTCAAAGTTTCTAAAAGCTGGATGCAAAAAAAATGAAAAGAAAACATAAGCCTCTCTGTAGACCTAATGTTATTTGCTGGAACTGTTGTATTTTTTTTGCTGAGTCATATTAGACATAGTGGATGAACACAATGAAGACCGACCAAGAACAATGTTAACACAACCAGTAGCCTCTATGTTAGGCTCCTTTCCTGCGTTGCCGCAGGTGAAGTCTATGCTGGGTCTTCTTAAGGACGCTAGCTGCGTATTCATTACAAATGCGTGCATAAATATGTTGATATTCTGCTTATTTTGAAAAAATATAACTTTTGCAATTGTCATTTCAATTGAATAAGAAATACTATTACAATTGCACCTGAATGTGAATGCTCAAGTGATAACTCTTAGAAATAACATGGCAGTGGCGGATGTATAAAACAAGGATATACCCATATTTCAGCACGGCTCTGGTACTTATCGTGCTCATCTTCACAAACTAAATGTCAAAACTACTCGGTCTCCTGATGAATTCAAAAATGAGTCATCATCATCTTCCAACTATATCCGATCCTCTTCTTTTTTTTATTATAAGACAGTAAGGTCCAGTTTTTGTCGCAGTTTTGTGCAATATGGTAACTTCGATGTGACCCAAAAAAAACATGCTACTAAAGTTTAAAAATTTTAGCTAAAAACAATTACAGGTTCTAGTGTTTCCATTTAGCGAATTCATTTTTCAGAATTACAATTTGCGTAATATGCAGCTACTGGCTATATGTGTGAGGAGCATTCTACTTTCTGAGAGAGTGATTCTCTGAAACCTGATATCATTTTCACGAGACACAGTTTTATTGAGGATGGTAACGGCAGGGTGTTGTTGGTTTTCTCTGGAAATCAACCATTTTCTCCAATGGCTTGAGTGTGTTAAGCTCCGGGTGGTTCTGTATAAGAGGACCGGCTGATCCACCAGCATTTTCAAACAGCTGGAGAGACAACTTTTTATCAGGAGTCTATGTTGCAATAAACCCAAAGAGAAATCTTCTATAAAACCTTTCCTATAAAAAAAACAAAAACAAATCATTTGTTATATAAAAGTCACTCAAATCTAAATGTTCAGGGCTTTATGTTTGAGGTTACCTGCAGATCGGTATCAGGCGTCTAAAGCTCAGGTATCTGCTTAACAACACATCATTCAGTGCCATTTGTTTTATTTTTTAAGTAAGAGTTCCTTGAAAAAGCATTATTTTCCATGCAGATGTTTTTTTTGTTTTGTTTTTTTTATTGGTTCTAATTTCAGATTAACTGTCATATGGGTGCTTGGTGGTTTCTCAAACACATTTTTTTTCTGGAAAACAAGTTATTTTATTTGCGTTCTGCTATAATAGTGAATTTTTAAACATTAGAAAACTTAGATTATACCTCATATTTTGAAATGAGTGCAAACAAATGTAAACTTCTAAAGTTCTTACTTTTGCTTTATATCCAGTCTTAAAAAAATATTTCGTCAGTGTTTAAAGGGAAGTTTTTCTTTTAAGTAGCGCCACCGTCTTTTAGTTTTTCTCAAACTGATTCTTTGCATATTTCTACCTACTTTTCCCTCCTGCTGTCTTACTATTTGGCAGGTATTTGCATAAACGTGCCACTGGAGTTTGTAGTAAGAAGACCTTTGCATACTAATAACTTTCAGCCAACACCCCTGACACATGCCTGCTTCTGCTTCACTTGTAGTATTGTGAAACTGAGGCTTGACAGAGACAAGTAGTGTGACTCTTAGTCTGTGTCTAGAAAGTAACAGAGAGCTTACAGCCACACCTGCAGACAGACAGATAGTCAATACTGCACTTTCTGTATTTCAGCAACTATTACTCCCTCCGTTCAGTCTCTCTCAACATTCCTTTAACAAACTTGTTAATTTCTCCTAACAATGGAGACAACTATTTCAACCAGTCTTAGTAATCAACATGAGAAAAGAAAAATCAAAACTATAAGGAGACAATTGCAAATGTATTTATTTTAATTTTTTAATTAGGGAGTTAATGGCACGAGTATTCAGACTGAAAGCGTTCTGCACATTCCTGCTGGTTTGACAAACACAGTGTTGCTTTAAACTTTGCACATGTAGAATACCTATAAGACAGAACTAATTTTGCAATGCAGGATCTTTTGGTGCAACTTTAAAAGTAACATCAAAGCCAAACAGAGAAACGGCCCAGTTATCACTAACTCTGCTATTTAGGGAACATTAAGGTTTCCCATGCAGACACAGAACAAAATGGTGCAGTGAACAAAAACTCAATGGCGGACATATTCTTCAACTGTAGAAGGGTACAATATTATTTTTCTACCCAGCTAGATCATTCAATTTAAAAATGCAGTTAAGTCCAAATCAGCTTCACGCTGCATTCAACCAAACACAGCACAACATATGAGACGTGACAACATATCTGTACTGTCTGTCGGGTTATCCTCTGACCAGAGAGCATTTACCAATAGCTGTGGATTCAAGTTGACAAGTAACCTACACTGGATTGTCTAAATATTTTTAAAACACTCCAAAGTAATTTAAACTAGTTTTATTATCATAATACCTCTTATAAAATCATACTCTTTTAAATAGTTAACAATAACAATTTAGGTGGTTTTAAGGTAATCCATCCATCTAACATATGTTTTGTTTCAACAATGGCTGCTCCTGTCACTCTTCTGTAGATCTCTGGTTAATGCGTCACTTGCCCAGGCTTTCACTTTAGGTTGAGAGGTTATTTCTCTGCATGTTGTGCCAAGCTTTTTTCTAATATTAGATCACGGATTGGACAGCACTTACAACTAGTTAGATTTTCGAAGCGTCTGAGTTTTTATAACCAAACCCTGCTTTGATCTTCCCCGCAACTTTTTTTCCCCCCTGACCTTCCTTGCCTGAGTTCCTCGGTCTTTACGCTGTTGTTTGTTTTTGAAAAGTTTCTCCAACAAACACACACATGCTGACACAAATTATTCGAATTTGGAAATTAATTTTCAAAGTTTTAGGCTAAATTGGCTGAATACAGATGCACACCACCCATTGATTTGTCATCATCTTGGTACTTCACAGAATAATTTATGAACAAAAAAATTGTGTAGAATGAAATAAATGTAATTGAACGTATGGTTCTAATAGGATCAATTCAGTACAACCTCAAACAGTGTCTGATCTATCCTAGCCCTTTGATGCTGCTCCTTATTTTAATTTCTGCTGTGTTTAGGGTGCCAGGAACATGGATAACGTGCTATAGAGGGGCTAAGCTACAACCACCAAATATTTTAGAATGTATCCAGACATTTTAAAGTACACACATGCATTTGCATACATATATATTTACTTTCTGCAACACACATTCATAAGTATCTCCAATTCTCCCTCCAAGGCTTCAAGAAGCCTTATCATCTTCCTTCTTTTAAGCACGAAGCTGTCATTCAGTACAGAGGAGTTCCCAGTGGTGTCGGAAGTACCTGTTCTGTTTTGCAGAGCCTGACTTTACTCCCCGCCAGGGACACCAGCACTCTGCCTTTGTAACCACGGAGCTCCAGCAATCCTCGCTTGTTTGTGGAGGAGAGGTGGGGAAGGCTGTCGGAGCGCTTCTGGGAGCCGCTGGCGGGGGGGCGTGTGGCCGTCTGAAGAGTTTCCATCCACTCCTGGCGCTCCCCTGTGGACACGTGCATAAGTAAGAGCCAGAAGGAGAGGAGGAAGGAAAGCAGGTGGCGGATGAGAATACATGTGTGAGAGTGAACACAAACGAGAAAAGGAATTAAGACAAGAAGAAGAAAAAAGAAATCAAAAGATCAGATCTTAAATCTTTGAAAGTTCATCCTTTTTGTGTTGTCTTCAGTGAGTTAGTGAGTTATTTTGGCTTTTTGAGGTCTCAAGCACAACCAAATGTGACAAAACATTCCAACCTGAATGAAAAGCAATTAAACACAGAATGATCCACACTTGCTAAGATTATTTCGGCACTTAGAAAAGGAAATCCTAAAAAACTGAAAGAAAGTGATAAATGTTGCACAAAAGATAGAGCTAAATGTGTTACATTCTGAGGCTTAAAGCGAGAGAGGTGACGTGGATAAATTCAGACTGACACAAAACTATCTCAATTTCTCCACAAGGCCAATTAAACTGTCTTTGAATGAATTGCAGCCATAACAGTTCACAGTCTCAAAATGGAAAACATGTGAGCAAAGTCACAGAGAGCTGTGAACATCTTTCACAGATCTCGGATTGTTTAACAAATATATAAATATACATTCAGCTGTGAGTCTTGTTATGTGGAGTTTGCTTGATCAGGCTTTTTTGCTGCACCCCAAACGTCAAAGAGAATCTTCACTAAATATGAATTTTCCATAAAAAGAGCACTCTGTCCTTAAAGATGTGGTCGCCTTTTTTTGTAACATTGTTTAATAAAGTGAGAAGAGCGGTGAGAACAGCAGTTCTGCAACAGCTTTTTCCCCGCTGCCATCAGACTTTTGAACTGTAAACTGGACTCTGCATCACACTTGCAACATAATTTTGCACCACCAACATGCTAAAACTTTTATAATCCTTTTTAATAGTACACAACTAAGTGTTATACTGCATTTTGCACCATGTTTACTTTGCAGTGCACTAAGCCTTTTCATATCAATGCCCTTTTGCTGTTGTAAGCAACATAGTTTAATTCTGTATACACTCTGTCTATACAAAAGGACAATAAAGTTTGTTTAAGTCTAAATTCATCCAGATTGCCCAATTTCAACCTTTAGTACCTTTTATAAGGTTTTGTTACAGCATTTTATTACCAGACTTTAACTAGACCAGACCAAACAGAAGAATCATCCTCTTTATTTCCCTCCTTTAAAACACACATTTAGGCAAGGAATGATATATTTTTTATCAGAATTGTCTTCAATAGCCTAAACATCATTGTATTAATTTTGTTTGTTTGGTTAGCCGGGGAGGGGTGGGGGCGGGGGCGGGGGGTGTCTTAAAACTTTCCCATGGATGTTATTTTTGCAGTCTTTTACTTGTTTTCCTCTCTTGTTAATTATTGAAAGAGATCCCTGCAGTACTTCAAACAGCTTTCTGGATCTTTCGTCATGCCCTGGTTGATTGATGCACTCTTGGAGTAATTTTCGTGGTATGTTTTTTTTTTTAGGAAGGTTCACTCCATTTGATATTTTTAAATCACAGATCTCATAGAAATCCAGGCCTAGTTTCATCCCAAACAATGTACTTTTTTGTGCTTGAACAAAAACAAAAAAAATGTAAATTTACAGTAAATCCCCCATGGATCTCAGCTCAGCTAAATGGACCAACACAGAGCAAGACATTGTGTTGTAGCCAGGGTTTTACATTCAAACAATGTTCACTCAAAAGGGCTTGTCAGACATCTTCCTCCACAACTTTTCAAACAGACTTAAAAAGAGACATGAAGCCGACACTGTAAAGCCCATTCCCCCACCGCCCAAGACACTGAGCTATCAAAGCCAGCAAAGTGGAAACACAAGAATTACCAAAGGATTGCAAACACACGAGAACACACACTCCAACATCACAGGTCCGGAGCGGAGCCCACAGAGGCAAGCGTTCAACAGAAAAAACACAGAAAAACAAGCATCAAATGAAATCTGTAAACTGATATCAAACTCTGGGATTAGTCGGTAAAATCTTGCCAATATACAAAATTCAAGAGATTCCAAAATTTTCTATTTTTTTATTCCCATACAAGGACATTCAAAGGTTTCTGAAGATTTTTGAAAAGCCAATAGAGACGAGACCAGGGCCAAAATAGGCATTTACGAAAAATACATAAAGAGTCAAATTAAAGCTAAAAGAGGAACAGTCCGAATGCGTTGCAACCATTTTAATCACAGATGCTTTTAGCTTGAGTAATTGTTTCTCTGCTGGCTTTTGGTTTCCAATTATTTTCATTATGAACCTATTTTTCTTTGATGCGCACAAATCACATCAGCAAAGGTAGCCGAGCAGAGACCATACAGGAAGCCTCAAGAAATCCTTGCTAAAAGGTTAACAAATCACAGAGCTGAAGCCCATCCATGTAAAGAATAAAGAAAATAATGGGTTCAGTTATAGTTTATTGATCTCCTTAATGGGAAAAAATCTGTCTTTTCACTTCTCCCCCTTCAGGTTATTTTGAGAACAGAAGGCCCAGAGCTGGCAGGAACTCTGCGTCTCCTTCAAGGCACCACAGAGCAAACAGAAATCCAGTGAGGAACAAAATGTCCTGGACGGGTAAGAAAAAGTAGACACAATGACATTTTATTGTCTGCACAATGAACCTGATCTCAATAAAGTAAAGCTGTGCATCCTTTCTACAACCGTAGGAAATGTGTCTGCCTTTAATTGGAAACATAACTGGGATCTTTTATGTGTCAATCCAAGAAGGCCTCACCTTGCAACTTCTAAGGTCCATATTTATTTGCTAAGGTGGTGCCAGATAACAAACACCTTTAGAGCTCTGGGGGATCTCATCGATTAATTGGCGTCTATAAAGCAAAAGGTAGACCAACACACTATCCGGCAAGTGTTCTTTAAATTAATAGTGTTTTTTTTTAACTAGTTAATAAAGTAAAGTAGTCTGCAAACAAGTCTAAGAAACAGTGATATAACAGACAGCTCTTAAAATACAGAAGTGATGACTACATTTTTTTTTTGATTTGGCAAAGACTTAACTGGAGGGAATAATTCTTTACCTTAACTCTTCTCTGTATAAAGACAATGGATTTTAGTCACTTCCTAGTCAAAGCTAACCTTGCATAAGTTAGAATGATACCATCTGCCTCCAATGTCGAGCTTTTAGCCAATTGCAGCAGCAGTAGCAGTTGTGATGCATCACATTCTTGATTTGTTTCACAACAAGTGGAATTAACCTGTAAATTAAACTCTTACGAAATCCAGTCAGGAGGAATAAGCAAACAATGGCATCTATGACGTGTGGGCGTCATAGACGTCAATGTTTTTCTGTATCAAGGTTAATCCATCTGTTGGCTTTTAGCCAGATGTTTATCAAAAACCTCACAAAAATCCCTTCTACTTTCAAGGTAAAGTCAGACCAACTGTCAGTCCCTTGACTTTTCATGCAAAAAGACCCAGAGAAGAAGTTTCTCATCTCCCTAGTAGCACCATCTGTGAGGACCCACATGGTGCTACTGTTTTCTGTACCTGTTCTTGTCTCAGGTCCAGCAGCCCAGTGGGTTCTTGTGAATTCACAAAGAGCAGAGATATCAATAATGAACATCCTTCTCAATTATTGACAGCTCTGTACATCACTACTCTTTACTGTCCGTCCCCACCTTGCTTTCTGAGGTCCATTACCTGCCCTGCACTCACTTATTTGCCTTTTCATTTATTCAGGGTCTCCTTTTCTCCTTCTCCTCATCTCTCGTTTTCTACCAAGCTGTCAGTCTGGCTGCAGGTAGAGGGATAGAGAGAAGGAAGGTGGGAGGATTAAAGGAAACTTGGGTCTGCAAGTGAGTATCTGACCTATGTACTTGAATGCATTTTTGCATATGTTAGAGAACATGTCTCGCTTTAAACACACATAAAATTCTATCATTACTTGCCAAAATTGTCTCTGTTTTTTACTTTGCTTTCACCTCTGCATACATGGAAAGAATAAAAACACTACTCCATCCAGCTTCAGCACTTATTACAGGATATATGCATGTAGAGCCAGCTATCTGAAAGACAATTCCACTTTGCAAAAAGAGAGACGGGGAGAGAGGCATGTAATCCTCACAAAGTGGATGAGATGAGAGCCAGGTCCACTCAGTGCTCAACAGGGATCTTAGAAGCCACCCACACAGTCTCCATCAGCAGGAAAAAGAAAAACAATAAACAACGCTTTATGGTTTTTTTGTCCAGTTCTCTTTGTTTGTTTGTTTTTTTCATTTCATGCCAAAACGCACTAATATTGAATGAAACATTTGCATTATTATTTATCGTTTTGCTTGCCACAAATTACCATGCAGCTGGCATAAGGAGTTAGAACAGCCGTTTTCTGTATAACTTACATTTGGTGTTGGAATATAGAATTCATTGACCTATTAAAAGATGCAGAGTTTAAGTTTAGGTTTTCATTATTTAGGAATATAGTGCTCTGAAGGCGGTCTAACAGAAGTTACAATCATATATACTGCATGTAATTAGAAACTACACAATAGTTAGAAGATCAAGTAATACAAATGAACCAGAAATGTATAACTCCAGGTGACTTGCATCCAGACTTTCACTCAGTTCTTTCCTGAAAACATTTTGACACCTAAAACATTGCTATTCAGCATTTGGTGTGCTCCTAATTGTTGGAAACTGTTCACCATGGTGAGATCTAAAGAGCTGCCTGAGGCCCTCTGAAAGAAGATTGTAGTCGTTTATAAGTCTGGGAAGGAATTTAAAGAGGTCTGAGTAGAATTTGAAATCTGTTATTCCACTGGGAAGAAACAGCCTACAGTATAAAAGGATCTAAAAACTGTTGATACTGTTTGGGAAACTGGCTTAGTCTTCTCTAATCAGAGGGTTGCAGGTTTGATTCCTCCTAGTCACAGGTTGACGTGCCCGGGGGCAAGGATTTTAACCCAAGTTGCCTAACTTTCATTTATTGGTGGGTGGAAGTGTTTGTCAGAGCAATTAGAAGAATATGTATGAGGCGATCTG